ACCAACAGTTAAGTTAAGTTTTTTTTTTCTAGTTTACAGTCAGGCTTTCTTCACTGGTGTTTAACTGTCACTATTCATTTTTTCAGTCATCTCCTTGTGAGATGTAATTTTTTTGTTATTTGAAGCCCTACTCTGGCTCTTGCCAGGGGCCGCATTATAGCCTGACCATAAATATGGTCTAATGGCTGAACGTGGTTTCTGGGACCTCTCCACAGTGATCCTCATCCACATGGTGGCACTTTGTGTCATCAGGTGTTTATCGCTTGTGTGACGTCCTTGTGGGGTAAAAATCTACTACTCTGTCACTGTTTTACAAATTGACTCCAAGTTATCAAGGTGCTAGAGGAAAACATCCTTGTTCAGTTTAAATTGCAATGAGTTTAGTTAAAAAAAGTGTTCAACTGGCAGACATACAGACATACCACATGATAAACTGATGCATTGCAAACTAGCTATGGTCAAGGCTGTTTGGCCACAAGGGAACAGTCAGGAAGCACATCATAATGGTCTGAAGAGAATGAACAGGGAGTGACCACCGGATGTGGCTGATGCTCAGCACCTTAAGATATGGCAAGACAGACATACAACCAGACTGTTACTGGTACCGTTGGCAATTTCAACTCTGCACTAGCTGCCGTCAAACATCTGGAAGTTTAAGACATTCGGCAAACACAAAACTTAAGATCATCAACTCCTATGTGATTCCATTGCTAACTTATGGATGCAAGAGTTGGAAAGCAACAGTAGCTCTAGATTTAATAAAAAATTTTTTTTTAGAACATATGTATTAGAAGAACACTAAATCTCCACTAGACAGATTTCAGATCCATTATGCAAATAAGACAAAGAGACAGAGCAAGATAATGCATCCAGTTTTGTAAGAAAGTGCAACTGGAACTACATCAGCTATACACTCAGAATGGATAAGACCAGACTCCACCCATCAAGGCTTCTTATGGACACATGAAGGGAAAAGATAACGGGAAAGACCAAGAGAGACCCTGTATAGAACCATCATTAGGAAAGGCTCAACCATGGACCTAATAAACATCTGAGAGCTAAAACAGGTGGCAATGAACTGCCAGACATGGACAGCTGTGACCTCTGCCCTATGCACCACCCTAGGCTCCGAAAAGGAAAAACTAACTAACTGGTTGCTGAAGATGATGACAGAGTGCTTTGGGAATGTCCAGATGATGACAGTGTGCTTTGAGAATGTCCAGATGATGACAGAGAGCTTTGAGAGAATGTCCAGATGATGACAGAGTGATTTGAGAATGTCCAGATAACGACAGAGTGCTTTGAGAATGTCCAGATAATGACAGAGTGCTTTGGGAATGTCCAGATGATGAAAGTGTGCTTTGAGAATGTCCAGATAATGACAGAGTGCTTTGAGAATGTCCAGATGATGGCAGAGAGCTTTGAGAATGTCCAGATGATGACAGAGTGCTTTGAGAATGTCCAGATAATGACAGAGTGCTTTGAGAATGTCCATATGATGACAGAGTGCTTTGGGAATGTCCAGATGATGACAGAGGGCTTTGAGAATGTCCAGATGACAGAATGCTTTGAAATGTCTAGATGATGACAGAGTGCTTTGGGAATGTCAAGATAATGACAGAGTGCCTTGGGAATGTCTAAATGACAGAGTGCTTTGGAATGCCCAGATGATGACAGAGTGCTTTGGGAATATCCAGATGATGACAGAGGGCTTTGAGAATGTCCAGATGATGACAGAGTGCTTTGAGAATGTCCAGATGATGACAGAGAGCTTTGAGAATGTCCAGATGATGACAGAGAGCTTTGAAAATGTCCAGATGATGACAGAGAACTTTGAGAATGTCCAGATGATGACAGAGAGCTTTGAGAATGTCCAGATGATGACAGAGAGCTTTGAGAATGTCCAGATGATGACAGAGAGCTTTGAGAATGTCCAGATGATGACAGAGAGCTTTGAGAATGTCCAGATGATGACAGAGGGCTTTGAGAATGTCCAGATGATTACAGAGAGCTTTGAGAATGTCCAGATGACGACAGAGTGCTTTGAGAATGTCCAGATGATGACAGAGAGCTTTGAGAATGTCCAGATGATGACAGAGAGCTTTGAGAATGTCCAGATGATGACAGAGAGCTTTGAGAATGTCCAGATGATGACAGAGTGCTTTGAGAATGTCCAGATGATGACAGGGTGCTTTGAGAATGTCCAGATGATGACAGAGTGCTTTGGGAATGTCCAGATAATGACAGAGTGCTTTGAGAATGTCCAGATGATGACAGAGTGCTTTGAGAATGTCCAGATGACAGAGTGCTTTGGAATGTCCAGATGATGACAGAGTGCTTTGAGAATGTCCAGATGATGACAGAGTGCTTTGGGAATGTCCAGATGATGTCAGAATGCTTTGAGAATGTCCAGATGATGACAGAGAGCTTTGAGAATGTCCAGATGATGACAGAGTGCTTTGAGAATGTCCAGATAATGACAGAGTGCTTTGAGAATGTCCAGATAACGACAGAGTGCTTTGGGAATGTCCAGATAACGACAGAGTGCTTTGGGAATGTCTAGATGATGACAGGGCTTTGAGAATGTCCAGATGATGACAGAGTGCTTTGAGAATGTCCAGATAACGACAGAGTGCTTTGAGAATGTCCAGATGATGACAGAGTGATTTGAGAATGTCCAGAAGAGTGATTTGAGAATGTCCAGATGATGACATAGTGCTTTGAGAATGTCCAGATGATGACAGAGAGCTTTGAGAATGTCCAGATAATGACAGAGTGCTTTGATAATGTCCATATGATGACAGAGAGCTTTGAGAATGTCCAGATGATGAGAGAATGCTTTGGAATGTCTAGATGATGACAGAGTGCCTTGGGAATGTCCAAATGACAGAGTGCCTTCGGAATGTCCAAATGACAGAATGCTTTGGAATGTCTAGATAATGACAGAGTGCTTTGGGAATGTCAAGATAATGACAGAGTGCCTTGGGAATGTCCAAATGACAGAGTGCTTTGGAATGCCCAGATGATGACAGAGGGCTTTGAAAATGTCCAGATGATGACAGAGGGCTTTGAGAACGTCCAGATGATGACAGAGTGCTTTGAGAATGTCCAGATGACAGAGTGCTTTGGAATGCCCAGATGATGACAGAGTGATTTGAGAATGTCCAGATGACAGAGTGTTTTGAAAATGTCCAGATGATGACAGAGTGCTTTGAGTATGTCCAGATAACCACAGAGTGCTTTGGGAATGTCCAGATGATGACAGAGAGCTTTGAGAATGTCCAGATGATGACAGAGTGCTTTGAGAATGTCCAGATAATGACATAGTGCTTTGAGAATGTCCAGATGATGACAGAGGGCTTTGAGAATGTCCAGATAATGACAGAGTGCTTTGAGAATGTCCAGATGATGACAGAGGGCTTTGAGAATGTCCAGATACCGACAGAGTGCTTTGAGAATGTCCAGTTGATGACAGAGGGCTTTGAGAATGTCCAGATGATGACAGAGTGCTTTGAGAATGTCCAGATGATGACAGAGAGCTTTGAGAATGTCCAGATAACGACAGAGTGCTTTGAGAATGTCCAGATGATGACAGAGGGCTTTGAGAATGTCCAGATACCGACAGAGTGCTTTGAGAATGTCAGTTGATGACAGAGGGCTTTGAGAAAGTCCAGATGATGACAGAGTGCTTTGAGAATGTCCATATGATGACAAAGAGCTTTGAGAATGTCCAGATAACGACAGGGTGCTTTGAGAATGTCCAGATGATGACAGAGAGCTTTGAGAATGTCCAGATGATGACAGAGAGCTTTGAGAATGTCCAGATGTGACATAATGCTTTGAGAATGTCCAGATGATGACAGAGGGCTTTGAGAATGTCCAGATAATGACAGAGTGCTTTGAGAATGTCCAGATGACAGAGTGCTTTTGAATGTCCAGATGATGACAGAGAGCTTTGAGAATGCCCAGATGATGACAGAGTGCTTTGGAATGTCCAGAAGATGACAGAGTGCTTTGAGAATGTCCAGATGATGACAGAGAGCTTTGAGAATGTCCAGATGACAACAGAGGGCTTTGAGAATGCCCAGATGATGACAGAGTGATTTGAGAATTTCTAGATGACAGAGAGCTTTGAGAATGTCTAGATAATGACAGAGTGATTTGGGAATTTCCAGATGATGACAGAGCGCTTTGAGAATGTCCAGATGATGACAGAGTGCTTTGAGAATGTCCAGATGATGACAGAGTGCTTTGGGAATGTCCAGATGATGACAGAGTGCCTTGAGAATGTCCAGATGACAGAGTGCTTTGGAATGTCCAGATGATGACAGAGTGCTTTGAGAATGTTCAGATGATGACCTAGAGCTTTGGGAATGTCCAGATAATGACAGAGTGCTTTGAGAATGTCCAGATGATGACAGAGTGCTTTGGAATGTCCAGATGATGACAGAGTGCTTTAAGAATGTCCAGATGATGACAGAGTGCTTTGAGAATGTCCAGATGATGACAGAGTGCTTTGGAATGTCCAGATGACAGAGTGCTTTGGGAATGTCCAGACTATTGTAATGTCAGTTCTTAACTCACCGAAACTTTTATATGATGTTAAAGGTTTAAGTCCAGAGGATCAACTTCGTTGAACCGGCTTTGATCCTATATTGCTCAGTCTATCAAAACAGCTAGCCACCTGCCAAGAGCGCTGGGTAGAGCACAAACCCCCCTAGCTCCAGCGACAATCCCCAGGGATTGCCATAAAAATTGCACTCGTGAACTGAAGGGCACAGCTGTGAAAGGAGAGCGCGAGGCAAATGGTTTGACCACTCGACCACAGAGACCCCTTTTATAAGATGTATCAACTACATATCTGTACTTGCTGAAAAAACATTTCACCCTGCCACTACAGTCAATAGAATCCTGATTTATAGTGTTTCTTGGTGTGTACAGTAACCACAACATCACAGCAGCTGCTAATCATTGTTTCTTCTGCACTGTATTTATTTCAGCGCCTGGAGAGGGGGGAAAACATGGAGGATGAAGATGTCTTTGGACAAGGAACAGGTGAAGCCAAGGACTCTGTTTCCACTCTGCCATGGAAGGTGGCTGTACAGGTGTGGGTTTATTTGTTGACCTGCTTGTGGTTTATTTGTTCAAGCTGATGACATTTTTCCTAGTTGAAGAGATTGTTTTGGCTGATGGTATTGTTCTAGCTGATGATATTGTTTTAGTCAATGATATTGTTCTAGCTGATGATATTGTTTTTGTTGATAAGATTGTTCTACATGATGATATTGTTCTACTTGATGCTATTGTTTTAGCTGATACTATTGTTCTAGCTAATGATATTCTTCTAGTTTAGGACATTGTTCTAGCTGATGATATTATTCTAGCTATTGAAATTATTCTAGCTGATGATATTGTCCTAACTGATGATATTGCTCTAGCTGATGATAATGTTCTAGCTGATGATTTTGTTCTAGTTTATGAGATTCTTCTAGCTGAATACATTGTTCTAGCTGATGAGATTCTTCTAGCTGATGACATTGTTCTAGATGATGCAATTTGTCTAGCTGATGATATTGTTCTAGCTGATGATATTGTTCTAGCTGATGATATTGCTCTAGCTGATGATATTCTTCTAGTTGATATTGTTCTAGCTGATGATATTGTACTAGTTGAGGACATTGCTCTAGCAATTGATTTTGTTCTAGCTGATGATATTGTTCTAGCTAGTAAGTGAGATTGTTCTAGCTGATAATAGTGTTAAAGCAATGTATCTTGTTCTAACTGATGACATGGCTCTACTTAATGAGAATTTTCTAGCTGATGATATTTTTTATAGTTACCATTGTTGTTTTAGCTAATGATATTTTTCTAGCTAAAGAGATTTTCTAGCTGATGATATTGTTCTAGCTGATGATATTGTTCTAGCTGATGATATTGTTCTAGCTGATGATATTGTTCTAGCTGATGATATTGTTCTAGCTGGATATTGTTCTAGCTGATGATATTGTTCTAGCTGATAATATTGTTCTAGCTAATGATATTTTTCTAGCTGAAGAGATTGTTCTAGCTGATGATATTGTTCTAGCTGATGATATTGTTCTAGCTGATGATATTGCTCTAGCTGATGATATTGTTCTAGCTGGATATTGTTCTAGCTGATGATATTGTTCTAGCTGATGATATTGTTCTAGCTGATGATATTGTCCTAACTGATGATATTCTTCTAGCTGATGATATAGTTCTAGCTTATGAGATTTTTCTAGCTGAATACATTGTTCTAGCTGATGATATTGTTCTAGTTGAGGACATTGTTTTAGCAATTGATTTTGTTCTAGCTGATGATATTGTTCTAGCCATTAAGTGAGATTGTTCTAGCTGATTATAGTGTTAAAGCAGTGTATATTGTTCTAACTGATGACATAGTTCTACTTAATGAGACTTTTCTAGCTGATGATTTTTTATAGTTACCAGGGTTGTAGGTGATGAAGATATGTTTAGTTGATAACATTGCTCTAGCTGATAATTATTTTTCTAAGATCATCCTGACAGTAGAGAGAATATGAGAGAGAAAGAGAGGAGAGAGATTTATCTCTGTGAGACTCAAAAATTAGTTGCTTCAGCATTTTATATCCCATGATGTTTTTTTTTAACTCAGAATGGAAGTATCTGATTGTCACTTTGGCAAGGAGAGATCTCTGATCGGCGGTCAATGAAAAAAGAGGAGACATTGATGACCTAAGGAAACCTGAAGTAGGATGGTAGAAAAGGAAATGGAGGAATATAAAAGGACATAGGATAAAGTAGGCAGGAAAGCAGCAGACTGGTAGTGCAGGAGATTACTTGTGAATGCCTAATGTGTCAGCAGCGACATAAAGATGACATCAGCATCATCATCAGGTGCCTTGCCGACTGGCATGGGCGATCATGCCTCTCCATAATCTGCGATCTCCTGCAGCATGTATCAGTTTGTGTGCCGACACACCTCCATGCCATGCAACAAGACTATCAAGCATCTTCTCTGGTTGTCTTCCTCTATCCTTCCTTCCACAAATCTTTCCAGTGGTCACAACATGTTCTATTTTCCCTCTTCTCATACCATGGCCGAAAAATGATGACTGTCTCCTTCTGATGTCTGTGATAAGTTGTCTTCGAACTCCCGCCTCTTTCAAAACCTCTTGGTTGCTCTTTTTTGGCTGTCCAAGGTATTCTAAGCATTCTTCTGTAAAGATGACATAGACAGATCTAAATCTGAAATATTTATACCAATACAGTTTTGAGACAGTATGTCAAAATAACGGCTGAGGTAATAAACATTGAGACAATAGCACTAGAGTTAAGAAGAAGTATGCAACAGAGACACTAAATAAATTTATGGCGAGTTGCCTGGCACTAAACAGTCAGATTACAAAAGTGTTTTATTTTAGCATTACCAAAAAAAAATATTATAAAGTTTTTGTGAGGATTTTTTAAAATGGACTTTAATAGAAGTAAAAAGAAAATGATCATTGCAATGAAATGATCAAACAGTATTAAAAGTCTATGGTTAGGCACTTTCAAGAAAATAGAAGCAATTGTGAGGGTATGCATATTTCCTATAGCAACAAATAGCTGTGACTCGTGTACTATCTCACAGTCATTGAAAAGAAAATAGGGGTTTTTGAACTGAAATGCTATAGAAAGATTCTCAGAATCCCATGAACCAAGAAGAAAATAAATACTGACATCCTAAAAGATCTGAACATCAAGCAAGAAATGTCTAGTAAACAGCAATTTGCCTTGGAAACAGACATTTTTTAGCAATACCAAACACCACAGCGGATTGGAAATAATAGTAATAGATGACATGGTGGCAGGAAACAGGGGCAGGGGCTGACCAGTATGAGGATGAGCACATGATTTAAGTGTCACCTTGGATAAGAATGTGCACATGCCAGAAGATCTGGTGAGTTTCTTTCAGGCAGAATTCTGCAAAGGACCTGCTACATGATGATAATGACTTTGATATGACAACATTCATTATCATTTTATTAGATTTGTGTGTATCCAGTTCACACTGTTTTGATCATATTTTGTCTACAGGTCTTCAGCTACTTAGATATGGCAGATCTTGCAAACTGTGCATGTGTCTGTCGTTTCTGGAAAGTTCTCACACAAGCAAACCTGTTGTGGAGTAGGGTATGATCAATCTCTGTTAGATTACATAGAAAGATGTAAAATCAAATGAAAATTAGATCTGCGAGCTTAAAAATATAACAAAAACAAGCTAAACATGAACGGTGTGGCTATAGAACCTTTATCAGCACATACATAAATCAGACGAAACCAAACATGTTGCAGCCACGTTGATAACTAAGTGCCTAGGATATGACTTGCGCTCAAACTCAAAAGTGTTGTACACAACGCACACGCATACTGTCAGGAAAACCCAACAATGGTTGTCTGTCATACATTCATTCACAAGAAGATTCTGGTGTACCAACCCGCACACAAGAAATGGTATGCAGCCACGGGACACATCTCCTTACGTTGGCTAACATGGAATTAACCTCATTACGCCTCATACTCACCATGACACAGCTTACAACTTGCTGTCGATCAGACTTTTGAGCTCACTGCTTTAGTGCCTAGGTCGCTGGCTAACACCCACGTCAGGACTAGCAGTAAGGATGAACATGCTTCATCTCACGTACACAGCTGACCTCTGTTAATATACCCTAACAGGCACTTTTACCTCAGTCTTTTACCTATTTACTCAGTCCATGTCAGCACTCTAGCCAACCAAGCTGCACTAAATTAACCTAAACAATGTTGGGTTATTTATATGATGGTCTCCCCATTTACACACCACCGGTTGTAGGTCAACTGCATTGATAAGTTGGTTGGACTAGTCTACCGTGGACGAGGTTATGGGTGTTGCAGTCTGTTGTTGTCTGGCATTTACGTTTTTATTTCCAAGAAAAAGTCAGCGTGTGACAAAGGTTTTGTCACTCTCTAGGGGGATTTTGTGTTAGATCTAGTATCTACATGTCTTAGAAGTGTTAAAAACTCTGGCATGGTAAAATATACAACACGCAGTATCAGCGTGAGTGCTGCAAATCCCCGTGACCTTGTGTGAAAGCCGGATCACTCAAGGCCGACCTATCAGAGGTGAGGTGGTATGTAGGTCGTCCAATCAGAAGCGAGCTAGTGTGTAACAGTGTGTAAATGGGGAGACCAGCGTAAAATGTATCCATGTTGATACCCCTGTGATACCCCTGAATTGACATGCAACAAGAACTTCGCTTTCATCAAAAGTCTGTCTTTCTCTAGTCAGTTCTACCAGCACTGTATGCTTTGATAACCAGTGCGTCTTCAGTGTCTTATATCCACTTTCACTGGTCTGCTTCTGCTACATTTCCAGAAATTGTTACCTTCACTTTTCTCTGCAGGTCACCATGATGTTTAATGTGGCCAGAATACCTTAGCTTTTGAGAGAGTAAGCTGTTAATGAACCAGTTCTTCTTAATGCTCAGATCAAGCAGGATGTTAAGAGTTATTGCTTCTGTTTAGATTTTCTAGGGATTTATAATGTGGCGTTCTTCCCTTGCTTTTCATATCCACATGGGAGAACACTTCAACCTTCAGCAATATTTTAGATTGCCAGGGAGAGTGAGTACCCTGCTCATTGGTGCTATCACTAACAACAGATAGCACCACAGAGGTGTCAGCTTATCCCGGGGAATACTCAATCCAGAGTAGGCTGCAAGTCTGCACTTGCCGCACGAGGTTGCAGTTGGGATTTTTTCCTTGATCCAAACGCAAGGCCAGTGTGGCTAGTTTGATATTAACCACATCACCAATGGAGTATAATTCTGCTATTAAGTAAAAATTAGATGTAGAAAAGTCACTGCATTTAATTAGACTGCAATCTAAATCACACCTCAACTGCAAAATTTGTCTTGAAATAACCTTTTGCTAGACATTTACCAACTTGTTTTCTTAATTGATCTATAAATACACAAATAGTTTTCCTAATGCATAATGTATCTAATATTTTTCTTTTTTTTAATTAATTATGCTGTTTTCTGTAAATAATCGTTTCCAATTGTATGTCAGCATTTTCTTTTAATTTTTTTCATTTAGGTAAACTTCAGCACTGTACATAAGAGGTAAATTATATTATAGTGAATATTTTTTTTTATAATTTCATAAAATGTTTCATAAACATGTGTTTGGTATTTAAAAACATTTATAAATGTATTGATTTTTTTCTCTTTGTTATAATTTTACAGTATTACTTTAAAGAAATATTTTGCTTTTCTGGAGAGTATTTAGAACCATTTCTTATGCATCTTTCCACCTTACCATTTCCTCTCTATTTTTAGTTTTCTAAGTACAAGCATATTTTATTGTAAATATAAACATATTTATGACTAGGACTTGGCTGGCGTTTGACATTTTTTTTCTCAATGTTTCTTCCTATTTTGATTTTTAAAAGGGTGCTAATAGTACAGCCTTTGAGTAGAATAATTTCTTATGCATGTATACCTTTGAACAATACTATTCTCTTGCTGTTTTTAGTTTTCTAAGTACAAGCATATTTTGTTGTAAATATAAACACATTGTGATTAGGACTTGGCTGGCATTTATAAAAAAATTATTTTATTCATCAATTTTTCTTCCTTTTTTGAGTTTTTATTTTAAAATAGGGTGCTAATAATAATAAGTACAGTCTCTTTTTCCATGTTTTTTATCTTCATTAACCTTGCTTTGAATTGTAGCACTCAGTGAATGCATATTTAGTTGTCAAATGTATGTTATTCTGTTTCTTGGTTTCTTGTTAATCTATATAATTAGTTTTGAATCCTTATTTTTGTTGTTGTTGTCCTTGTCTGAATTCACTAGCCATATGCAATAACAGCAGTACACAAACAATAATAGCTAGCTTCCCAGGGCAGCAGTTTAGATTAAATCTCTGGTTGAGAAATACATTTTTCAGAACACAGTTTCCTGAGGTAGCCAGGTGCAAGCAACCATAATTATAAAAGTCCTGAGAATTAGGTCACAAACCAGTCTGATTTTATGCTCTTTATTTCAATATAAAGATTCTTTTACACTAGTGGCGTATCAACAAAAGATTCATATTTGTTCAGATAGTTGTCACTCAGTGGACATTGTGGTCAGCATAACACTGCCTGCCTCTACTTGCCATTAAATTTCCTGGTACCAATTCTAGAATGGTTTGATCTAAAAGCCAAGCTCAGTTTGTGGGTGTGTGTAAAACTTCCCATGGTGAAATCAAACCTAAGAGCTTTGGACCATCAGGCACATGTCTGGCTACTAAACCACTGCAGCTCCCCCCTCATTCCAATGATCAGTTCAACCATGTGCAGTTAAAATTAGGTTGGTGTCTGTTTTTCACCATCCCGGCTACCACTTCAAGATTTGATCAACCCCATGCCTTGGAAAGTTGCATCCTGGATGTAAAAAAAAAAAGGGGCAAATCCACGATACCCTCCTTGTTCAGCATGCAGAAAAAAAAAAAGTTATTATTAGGGCAGTGGTAGAATTCAGTGCACAGAATTCAGGAGGAATAATGAAATCGGAGAAATGTCTGGACAACCACTAGTTTCAGCAGTTATGAGACAGAAAAGGTGGTTCTATACTGGACACATCCTGAGAGGAAACGAGCAGAGAATTATCAGCTAGGCACTGAAATGGGAAATAAAGGGATTAAGTAGGTAAGGATGCCCAAAAGAAACCCCGAAATGAGCATTAATTAGAGAGGCCAAAGATGCTGGACTGAATTCGTCCATGATAGTGAATTGAGTGTATGACATAGAACACAATGGAGAAGTAGATTGTGAACCCTATGTAACATATAATGGCACAACAGAAAAGTGAATGAATGGCTGAACAGGTATTACCCAGGTCTACCCTGCAGTCTTGCGCAGGTAAGGGAGATCACCAACAGTTAAAATTATCACTGAAATGACAATATCACCATTCTTAAATTTTCATTTAAAACAAAATGTCCTTGAATCATTCCTCTCATATGTCCCTTCTTGCCGGATCAGTTGATTCCTCATTGACACATTCTTATTCATGTTATTTCATTTAACCTCATAATAATAATAATATAATAAGTAAAGTCATTGAATAGGTTACAAATGGATATGAGGTAGCTTGAAATTTTAAAGAGGTCATTCAGTGGCTGATTCATCAATCTTATAGCAGTTTAAGTAACAGGCTGTTGAATGTTATGTTCACATGGGAAAACCGTTTTAAAATAATGACTGTACTCATGAAGTTTACAAGGGAAGAAACAGTGCAGTGACATGTGAATGAGAGCAAAAATGTAGTTAACTTCCTATGTTTGTTTGTTTTAGTATCCAGAAGCCATGAGTTGTGAACCCTTAGGCTCGGTATTATGGATATCGCAACCTTTCGGCCTTGATTCCATTTTAAATACCGTAAATCTGGGAGAAATGTGGCTTTTCTGCCCACCCCCGGGAGCGAACCCGGACCACAAGGGGTTCGTCACCCGCTCACCGCGCAATCCGGTTTAGCCAACTACGCTAGAGAGACGGGCAGTTAACTTCCTATAAAGGATATAGATACAGATTTATTAGCTGTGTGTGGTATTGTTTATCATGACACTAGGCATACATTATATAAAAGGTGCTAAAGTTGTTAGTTAGGGTACATACACATGTGCGCACACACACGCACGTATGCACACATGATGCACATGCTTGCGCTCACATACACACACACATTTTAATCAAGTGATTACATAACACCCGAAGCACTTTCGGAACTGTTTGGGAAGTTCAGCTTTATTCATGTTGTAGACCTTAACTGTTTAAAATCAATTCTCTTATGATATTTTGTACAGAATGGCAAATGGGTAAACATTTTTTTCTGCACTTTCAAGCATAGCTAGTGTCTTTCCTTTAGCATGAAATCTCCCATTGTGTATCTGATTATTCCTGTGTTTGTTGATAATATAGCTTCATATTCTTATTGGTGTTGGTGAGCTTTCATGAAATGTATGGGGAAAAAATGAATTTCATACAGAACTGTGTATAGGAAATGTTTAGATGTATAAGTGTGATTATAAACATGATAAGTCTAACTTAAAAAAAAAAAGATTATTTTCAGTGATGATGCTCTTATTTTAAATATTTCTTAAAACAAAACTAAATAAATGTATATATTCTTTATGTTTAAAAAAAATAATCATCATTCAAGGATTGTTGTTGTGCCATGAGGCATATAATGTTAACACCATATTTAAAAAAATATACCAGTCAGCATTCAATGACTTATGTGGTCGCCTTTACTTCCAGAGATAATTTCTGGTATCTATATTAGGTTCTGTCAACCTGAGAGTCCATGTCATTAAAAATAAATCTGCCTCTTTATTGATTTGAATCCATGGTCATCAGACTGGCAGGCACACATTCTAGCCTCTTGACTGATAAAACTGAATGGTTAATTATACGTGTATCATAGCATGGGATGTGAGGGAACAGAGTGGAGGCACAAATAGATAATTTTCAGTCTGAGAAGAATGGCACTGTGAGGAGTTACCAGGGGATCTGGCCGACGCTCAATACTCATGGGAAAGGCAAGGCGGATATCCAATCAGACAGTTACTGGTGCAATCGAAATTGGAACTCTTCACTTGCTGCTGAAGATGGGGATGCAGCACTTATTGGAGTATCCCAAATGATGTGATGTTGATTCTTAATTCAACATTCAACTTTCGGTTGTCTGGAACCCCATGCTGTAAATGTTAGCTGACAAACTAAGAAAGCAAACCCAAGATGCCCTGTTCAGCATACCTTATCAGTGGTTATAATTAGGATGCTGGTAATGGCTGCACGTAATTCAAGAGGAGTGAAGAAATAAGAGAAATGTCTGGGCAATCAGTAACATCAGTCCTGCTAGCCACACTTGCCATCACAGTTCGCTGGGATTTACTTGCCTTCCTAAAGCATAATATAACACCATTGTCTCAAAAGATGGAAAGGTACCACCAACATAAAATGCGCTAATTTTGTGTGTGTGTGTGGTTTTTTTTTTAATTGTTTCTATTGATGTTTTTTATTTGTAGAAGTTGGTTGTCATAAGTGCTCCTTATTTATCTTTTTATGTGTTGCCTTCTTGATGATTACACTTTGCTTGTAGAAATTGCATGGTTGAAGTTAACTTGAAACATTAACACATTATTTCTTGTTTTTATTGCAATAAATATGTATGTAACAAACATTTAACCATAGAAATGATATGTCCAAGAATGCTGCAGAATGAAGTGACCAGAAGTGATAAAATCAGTAATGAGATTATAAAATCAAAATAATTAGCTTCAACCAACACTAAATTGCATTTAAAGACAGAAAATACAATGATTTCCTCACAGAGAGAATAATTTATGATGCCATACCACATGATGGGTAGATAAGATCAGAGAAAATCTACAGTAGTATCAAGTGTCAACGGCTGAGGCAACCAGAATGAGGTCTTGCCTTCTATATGAACTTTTTGTTTAAACTGAGTTTGGTTGTTCTGTTACTTTTTTTTTTCAGTGTTCACTTTTTGGCGAGCAAAACTTACTGGAACAGTATAAGTTTTCTCATCCACACAAAGAAATACTATTTGTTATGTAAGACAATCAACCAGTTTTTTTAAAACCACCTCCCCCCCCCCTTTTTTTTCAAATGATACTAGACACCAAGCTTACCCAGAAACCAAACACAAAAGAAGAAGAAAATCCAATCTGAAACTGGATGGAGGATATTGGCCAGCCAGTTAAAAAAAAAAAAAAACCACGAAGGCTAACTTGCACTAGAGGATGTAGGCCTACTATGGAATACACCACAATCTCATGGGCTGAAAAAGTTAAAAAAACCTGCACATTTGTTTTCTCTGTTTTGTGTTCACTTAAGTTTGAATACTTCAGTACAGTTGAGAATTGAGGTATAAAAATGTCAAAACTTATTGCTGGTAGTCTGTAAACAAATAGTGATGCTTAACTCTAAGTCCCAAGGAACGCATCATACATTCATAAGTTACTGCCTCGAAGCCCAATGAACGCATGATGCGCCAGTTTTAGTCTCTTTTGACTACCTCTTGAGCGTGTGATGCTAAACCCTCTGGAACT